TCTTTTCTTCAATGGCCAGATCTAGCCCTTGTTGAAAAAAGACATCTAGAACCTCGCCTTGCCTCATCCCAAAATGTCCGGACTCGTCAAAAATTTCTACCGCAAATTTCGCATTTGACACAATTCTTGTTATAAGTGAAGATACCAATGATGACGTATTGTTGACACTTGATGTAGATTCTTCTTGTTTATTGTCTCCCATATTTGACACAAATATTATTTAATAGCTGACGACACAAATCAAGATTATTTCCTTTCTGATGTAGAAGATCAGACTAAGCTGCAACTACAGAGCATACTCAGACAGAACCTTGACTCAGTTACCAAGATAAATCTTTTCTGATGTGGAAGATCAGACTATGCTGCAACCACAGAGCATACTTAGACAGTACCTTGGCTCTGATACCAATTGTTGCGGAAGCCAAATGTATATAGTGTGAATAAGTCACAACTACTATACCAAAAATTATGACAGCCACCAAATAATAAATAAGACAATAAAGCAATTGTCAAGGAAACACCAGAATTTACGAGGTTCGGCTAATTTTGCCTACTCCTCGGACACAACCAATATTTTATTTCACTCCAAAAATACAAGTGAAATAATACTAAAGAGAGAAGATACAAATGCCTTAAACAGATGAGAAAGCAAATGAGAGGTGTGTCTAAATCCTAAACATTAAGCCTCCTTTTATAGGAAAAAGTTTCCCACCAACTCCTTAACCCACCGATGTGGGATGGAAATTTGACATATAATTCAACAATATGTTTTAAAGATATTGCAATAACACCCATCCGATTTAACAACACTTGTCGGATTTCAAATTTGAAATCCTCAACCTTCAAGCTTCAGTAATAAAATTTTCAAAATTTTGAATTTTTGGGATGATGAAGAAACAATGTGTTCTTGTAGCCCTGTAAGTTAATATATAGATGTGTGTTTAGTTAAGGTATGTTTGAAGCCTGAAATGTTGGTGAGATCAATTGAAATTTATAGAAAGATTCAAGAGGATAATGTAGCTAGTCTACTAGGATCTAATTCGAGAGAAAAAGAGAGAGAGTTGTTGTTTATAGCCTGTTTGGCCAAGCTTCTTTTTGGCCAAAAGTGCTTTTTTATGGTCAAAAGTACTTTTGACCAAAAATTGAGGTGTTTGGCCAAACTTTTGGAAAGAAAAAAAGTGCTTTTGAGGAGAAGCAGAAGCAGAAAAAAGTAGCTTCTCTCCAAAAGCACTTTTTTGAAAATCACTTTTGAGAAAAATACATTTAGAAGCAGTTTTTGAAAGCTTGACCAAACACTAATTGCTGCTCAGAAGTGTTTTTCAAACTAATTAGCCAAACAGAAACCGCTTCTCACCAAAAGTACTTTTGAGAAAAGTACTTTTGAAAAAAAATACTTCTCAAAATAAGCTGATTTTTACAGCTTGGCCAAACGGTAGTGACAAAACTTTTGTGAATCAACACAAGTAGAGTAGTTGCTAAGAATGTTGTTGTTTCTATTGATCCAGATATTCCAAAGAACTATTGGTATAAGGCACGCTTAGGGGATAGTGAGATTATTGTGCATATCAATAGTATTATCTTTGGATATACAGGTAGCCCTAGTCTTATCTTTATAATTTACAGCACGTGTGTTAATGGAGAAGACAGACCACACTTGACAAGTTTTAGCGCAAGAGAAGATTATATATATATATGGAAAGTATCTTCAGTACTATTGTAGTGCGAGCAATGAGGATCTTATAGCAGTTATGTTTCATTGATGGAGCATATGCGAGTAGGCAGTCGATCATGGAGTAGGAGCCAAAGGAAGAATTTATGCTTATTGAGGCAATTGCCTTTCCAGATCCACTGGTGAGTCTATTGATAGGTGTTTTGGTGATTTATAGCTTCAGTAGTATATGCAGTTTTTGTGCTAAAGGATCCATTCATTCAAGTTCCAGTAGAAGCAGTCATGATTGTTTTTAGTGAATGGTAGATATGTATTAAGAATAAGATTAGCAACTTCTATAGGAAGTTCGATTGGAATGTTTGAAAGGTCCCAACACTTGTTCTATATAATAGTGTTTCGTTATTATCTGAAAGGGTAAGAGGCCCATGAATAAGCTCCCTTAGAGTGTAGTAATCACGTGCTTTGATAGCACTTTTCCAGATATAAGAGTCAGGTGCCTTAGCCATTATAGAATTGGAAGTGCGATCGGAAGACAGTATTTACCTCAAAAGACAAAAGGCCCAAAAGTTATTTTCATGAGGATTATTTTGGAGTTGTCAAAGAATAGAGGACAAAAGGGCCATATTTTTTTTTGGGTGAAATAAGAAATTTTATTGATCACAGCACAAACATTGAAAATTAAATCCCTCCTATTCTTCCTTACTCCCCTAAACATTCCTATCTGATCAGTTATAGCTATCTCATTACAATTGAGCTATTCTATTTACAGTAGGTTTTCTATCCATACAGTTTTTTGTTATTGATTTCCGACCCAGTATGTCATGAGCACCATTCCTCACTTTCCATATGTGATACACCAGTGATGCCAGAATTGAAATTGTAACTTGTATACATCCTTTGCCTCTTATTCTTCTAGTCATTCTTTTCCAGATTCCATTTAGCTCCCATTGCTGCACCCCCATATTCATCCATACCAATACTTCTTGTATGCACTTTAGAGAATGGGCATTCAAAGTATAAGTGTTCTGTTGTTTCCAAGACCTCCCCACTTATGACACAATTAGTTTCTTGGCAGATTTCCACCCGAGCCAGCCTCTCTCTTGTTAACGGCCTTTTATGCATAGCTAACCAAAATATGAAGCTATGCTTTGGGGTGTTGTATTTGTTCCAGATCCATCTGCTACCCTCCCAGTTCTCTCTACTTCCTTGCCTCCATTGGTAACCATTGCGTATTGTGTAATGTCCATTTGCTGACAGCCAGCTCTCCTGGACATATCCAACTGCAAATTTGTCTCAAATGGAGCATATTTTCCTCCGGTACCAGTAACAATCATGAGGAGGTTGGTACTCCCACCAAGAAGCTCCTTTTAAGTATAGATAATCCGCCCATTTTACCCACAAATTGTCTGTCTTCTTAGCTATATTCCATACATACTTTGCAATTTCTGCTTGATTCCATAATTCACAATCAATGATGTCCAGCCCACCTTCTTGTTTAGGTCTACAAACTAGCTCCCAAGCTACCAATGGTACTTTGTTTGTGTTTACTTTTCCATCCCGCAAGAAGTTCCTGCATATTGTTGTTATGCTCTTCAGTATTTTCTTAGGTAGAATGAATATAGAGGACCAGTAGGAATGAATGTGCATTAAGACTGAGTTTACTAGCAGCACTCTCCCAGCATATGACAAATTCCTTGTTCCCTAGTTTTGGATTCTAGCACACATCTTATCTACTAACATTTCATGGTCCACATCTGAAATTTTCTTTGCTGAAATTGACACCCCTAGGTACCTAAATGGTAATGTACCTCTCTTGTACCCTGTCAATTCACATAAGTCTTCCATACTTTGTATATCCATATTAGCACTATAGATGTTGGATTTGGCTGCATTAGTAGTCCATCGTGATGCATTTGAAAAGCTTGTCAGTCTCCTTAGCATCAATAAGACAGATTATACTTCCCCTCTGCAGAACAAGAGCACATCATCTGTAAAACACAGATGATTCAGTTGTAAAGCTTTGCATTTTGAGTGGTAAGCAAACCCCTGAAGTGTGGGAACATGCTTCATGATTCTGGTGAAATAGTCCATACATATGACAGAGATTAATGGAGAAATTAGGTCCCCTTGCCTTAGCCCTCTCTTTCCCTCAATGTTTCCATACATCCCCCTACTGATTGCTATGGAGTATCTGGGTGTAGTTATACATGCCATTGTCCATTTGATGAACTTTCTTGAAAAATTCATAGCTTGTAGCCTCTCCTACACAAATTCCCACTCTACAGTATCATAGGCTTTCCTCAAGTCTATTTTGATTAGGCAGCTTTTGTGGTAGCTTTTCTATTATACAGCCTCACCAAATCTTGACATATAAGCACATTCTGAAACAGTTCTCCCAGCCACAAAGACACTTTGATTTTCTGATATAATGTTTGGCAGCACAGTCTTTAACCTCATACATAACATCGTAGAGATCACCTTGTATATGGTATTACAACAAGCAATAGGCATGTAATCACCCACCTGCTCTACATGGCTATTTTTGGAACTACAGTAATTGTTGTGCCATTAAGACATTTGGTATTTTTCCTTCCTGGAAGAACTCCAGAACCCCTATAACTACATCTTTACCCACAATTTCCCAGCAATCTTTAAAGAATTGGTTGCCATATCCGTCAGGCCCTAGAGCTTTATCCCCTACTATTTCCCAAACAGCTTCTTTAACATCATTTTCATGAAAATCTTGTTCTAGCCAACCCCTCTGCTCCTGGTTGATTGTAGGCCCTTTGCTAACCAGTTCACTACACACATGTTGCCTCCTTCATGTTCTTTCCCCAAGTAGCTTTTTGTATAATTCTATAAATGCTAGTTCTATTTCCTCTGGTTCTCTTTTTGTTTTCCCTTATGAATCTATGACTGAAAAGATTCTCTTTTTATTCCTTCTCTCCTTTATTGCGCCGTGAAAAAAACTTAGTGTTTTGATCACCTTGAGTTAACCATTGAACTCTACTTTTCTGTCTTAGGAATTGATCTTGAGCTTCTCCCCATATCCTGCATTCCTTGGCTAATTGAATTTTTGTCTCAATTAGTTTTTTGTTCATGAGGTCTCCTTGTAGTTGTAGTTGATATTTCTTTAATTCCTCCATTGCTTGGTCAGCTTTCTTTTCTACATCTGAGAACCTTTCCTTGTTCAGTTTGATAAGGATGCCTTAAGTCTGTTCATCTTGCCCACCACTTGGTAGATTTTGTTCCCCGCTATCATAACCTCCAAACTCTTTTTTACTTTCTCCTTAAAGTCTTGTGCCATTGCCCACATGTCATAATATTTGAATTGTCTTCTGCATCTATGCTTGCCATTGTCCCAATTTATTATAGCTGGCAATGGCCATATAGACCCTCATGAAATGAAATGAACTTCAGAAACTGATAGTGAAGTTATCCATTCAGTGTTAACTAACACTCTATCTATCCTACTATATACCCTTTCCTCCCCTTCTTGTTTGTTATTCCACGTGAAGTAAGCACCTGATGAACTCAATTACTGTAGTCCACATTCAGCCACACAATCTCTGAACTCCTTGATTTCAGACATTGCTACAGGTCTCCCAATTCTGTCCTCCTTATGAAGAACACAGTTAAAATCTCTCATGATTGCCCATGGGCCAACTATAGTGCTACTCCCTCTGTTCCAATTTATGTGAACTTATTTCTTTTTTTGTCTGTTCCAAAAAGAATGAACATTTTCTAAATTTGGTAACAATTTAGCTTAAACTTACAACTCTACCCTTAATGAGAAGCTTTTATAACCACACAAATACTCTGGGGCCCATTTGGACTTGTTTAGCACCACAAATTCCAAAAGTCTTCATTTTTTCCTTAAATTCCGTGCCCAGTTAAACAAATTTACGTAAATTAAAACGGAGGGAGTATTTATTTTCCTCACCTCTTGCCACAAACACTACAACAAAAACCACTTTTTGTGGAAATTATTTAGTGGCCATAATATAAATGCCACTAAATTACTTTTTTAAAAGCAATATTGCCGGCGCTGAAACTTTAACCAGTATTTTCTACTCTTTTAATGACAAATAATACAGAATGGCTGGGAAAAATCAATAATCGAGAGACCACTTTAATGATTTTCACTTCCCTCTAATTCCTCTCTACTCTCTAAAGATTCCATCCCTTTGCCATGCTCACTAAAATGCCCTCGCTCCCACCATCGATATATTGTTCCTCCGCTCCATCATCGTCTCCCAACGACTTACAGAATCACAATTTTTGTTCGCCAGACTCTGTCCATTCCCTCCCTCATAGAGTTATAGAATCACGCACGCAGTTATTTGTGGTATGTTTTCTCATCTTTGTGATTTCGTTTGGTATGTTCGCCAAATGCATTTTGGTTATCTCGAACATCTCTCTGTTTGATTTTTCTTCAGTTAGTGCTATGTGATTGTTAAAGATGAATATCTATGCGAATTTTTATTACTTTCCAAGTGGAATCGCAGAACCTATTCGATTTTTCAAAGCAACTAGGGTTTATCAATTTTAGCTTTTAATAATGTCAATCGCCAAGTCTAGATATTTGTCGTGGGATGATTATCTCAGATGAAGATTGAATTGCTATTGGTTGAATGATCCAAGATCCAAACATGGAGGTACTATCCTTTCATGAACAAATTATTAAGCTATTATTGGAGTTATATGTCATATACTTATTGGAAGTTGCATCTTTCATATTGAGTTATCCGAATTCTAGTATTTGTAAAAGCTAAACTATACTTTGCTCACTTTGTCAATTAACACAAATGAATTATTAACTGGGGAAATGAATATATTCTTCAACATAATTGAAAATGCTGAGTAGTTTTCAAATGCTACATATAGTGAAGTCTCCTGAGCTGGAACAAAAGCCTATTGATCAATATGTCTTACTGAAATGTGCCACTTATGAAAATGAATCTCAAAATTGGGTGGTTCTTACTCCGTTGAAGAGTAAAATTAATGTTTGAATTTGTTTCATAGAGTGGCTGACCCGGTACAATTACTGGCTATTTTTTTAGTTCTTTTTGGTTAGAGTTTGTTTAAAATATAAAATAGTTGGACATTAAGCTCAAAATTATTGTTACAACTTTAATATGAACATGTATTGCAACTTTCTATCTCTAAACACTTCCAAGTGATTTATATATTCTAGAGGGAAAAATATAGCTCCATCTCATTGAAATTAGATATAATGAATTTTTTCACTGTCATATGCTTAAGAGAAAATAAACTACTCATTTTTTCTTATACTAAGTTTCTTGCAGCAGCTAATATTTTCTTGGTTGTTTGTTAGTTTCTATCGCTAATTAAATAGATCAAATTCTTGGTATGCAATAGTTATTTATAAAATTCTTGGTAGTTGTAAGTCAATCTTATCAATGACTCGACTATTTTTTGAATATGATCATTTTATTCTGCTCCTTTAGCATTTTATTATTTAATTCAAGAAACTCTATATCTTCTTGTCCCATATCTTGCTTGAAGAAAATTAAGCATTATTACTATTCTGCTCATTTTCTTCAGTAAACCTCTCCTAAACTAAGTTAGGTGAATTCTTTTCAGGGATGACAATAACTAAATAAAGTGGATAGAACTAGAGAGAGATCAATTAAGGTTATGCCTTCTACTTCAATTGTGCTCATTTGTCTTGTGTTGAGTTTCTTGAAAAATGCTTAATTTTCTTCTCCCATGATACTTAATTTTTCTGTAGTAAATAGTAATAATCTTTTTTATGCAAACTATGGCATTTTATCTTGATTTTTATGATAATGTTGACTTGGAATTTACTTGTCTCCATTAAGCAACAATTCATTTTTTATCCATGAATCTGCAGATGGGGTATCACTATGGTAGGCGCAAATATGGATCCAATCTTGACATGCTCTAATAGGCTTGCTGGTAAGTTCTTGGAGCCTTGGGTACTGCCCGAAGTATATACTGAACTGGAGGTAAGAGATAGTAAACCTGATGAACTGAATGAAAGGCTACTGAATTTGTTGGTTTTATTCTCAAATCATAATGAACTGGATTTAATGAAGGTTACTCTTTTATATTTTTCTTCTACAGAGTTGTAATTTTACGAACCAAAGGGTAAGGAAAGTAAAGAAGGTGGCAAAGCTAGTGAAGGTAGAGAGATGAATGTTGAACATTGGTTCCATGTTTGCAGGTGCTTGGGTAGCAGCAATGAGCAGAATATGGCGAACTGATGCCAAAAGAGAGAAGATTGCATTGAGTAGGCATCTTGAAAAGCATTAGTTATTTGACAACACAAGTTACTAGACTTAAAATAAACTAGTTAATGGATTCAAATTGTATATTTATTTCTTTTATGGTGCTGAAACTCGAAAATTGTGAATTTGTCATTTTTGCTTATTGTGGATTTAATTGAATGTTATGCTTTTTAGAATTAAAATAAGAGTGGTGTATTTATTTTATGAATTCATGCCATAATTAATGCAGCTAAAAAATCCATAATATTTTATCAGCAATAAAATATACATTTATTAATTATAATTGTCACGACCCTAAACCCAGACCCGGTCGTGATGACGCCTCTCGTGAAGACAAAGTCAGCCGACACACTCCCAATTCATTTTAAGCAATTAAAATAATACAAATTAAGTCTTTAACATAATAATAATCCCAAAAGAAGGTGAAACAGTACAGTTGCAGAATAGACATAGCCTGACATCGGGATGTCACTAGTCATGAGCATCTACTATCCGAATAAAGACAGGAAAAGTCTACATAGTCTATTACAGAACTAAAACAGAGTAAATAAGATAGGGGGAGAAACACTGGGTTGCGGACGCCGAGCAGCTACCTAGTAAATCTCCGAATTCGCGTGAGCTGGAAGAAGTCAACACTCGCTAACGGGACCCAAAATGCCTGAATCTGCACACAGGGTGCAGGGAGTAAAGTGAGTACTCAAACTCAATGAGTAATAATAATAAATGAAGACTGAGCGATAGGAAATCATGTAAAACCACATCAACATACTATAAAGAAGCAGTATAAAATCAGTAAAAACAATGAAAACATGTAAAAACACTTAGTTCAGAAGAAGCTTCTTTAAACACATTTTTAACAGTTAACAATTAAATGAAAGACAGCTAGAACATATAAATACATAAAAATCCGCCCCTCGGGTACAAAGTCAACAGAATCCGCCCCTCTGGCAATATCATGGAACAACACTTGCCCCTCGGGTTATATCTCATATCACAATTGGTACCCTTGCTCACTAGTGGTGTACAGACTCTGGGAGGGGCTCCTTACGGTCCAAGGGCAATATCAATCTATCTCGTGGTATAATCAGTAGGCTTTCGGCCTCATATCAACAAGCCACCCCGTGGCGTACAATCTCAGGCCCTCGGCCTCATAATCATAAATCAGTGTATCCTCACAACACAGGCCCTCAGCCTTACTCAGTCAGAATCTCATAAGTCACTCGGGCAACAGTAAAACATGATGCTCAGCTCAAATTATCATTTTGAATATCATTTAATGCGTTAAAACAGAGTAAACATGGCTGAGTTATGAAACAGTAGAATATAGCATGATTGAGTACAAGTATAAAGTCAAAACAGTGAGGAAATATAAGTAAAAATCCCCTAAGGGTCCAAATAGTTGGCACGAGGCCCAAATATGACATTCAACCCAAAACATGGTGATAGCAATTAGTTATTAATCAAATACGCGGTAAAATAGTTATTTGGGATGGACTAAGTAACAATCCCCAATGGTGCATGACCCCACGCTCGTCATCTTGTGTGTGCGTCACCTCAATGTAGCACAACGATGTGAAATTCGGGGTTTCATACCCTCAGGACAACATTTACAATCATTACTCACCTCTATCCGGTCCAAATCTCTAGCTCGCGATGCCTTTGCCTCTCGAATCGACCTCCGTATGCACCAAATATAACCAAAATCAGTGCAAAACCATCAAAATATGCTAACGGAACAAGGCCTACTCGAAAGAAATCAAATTACAATACAAATCCCGAAATTGACCAAACCCGACCCTCGGGCCCACGCCTCGAATTTCGATAAAAATTACATCAATAGACTCCTTATCACTCCCCGAGTTCATTCATATCAAAAGCATCAAAATCCAACCATAAACAACCCCTCAAATTCCAAATTCTAGGTCTCCAATTACAACCCCTAGTTCTTCAATATTAGGCTTAAATTCCATGATTAATTAGGTAGAATTCACATTAGGATCGAGTATTAAATCCATAAATCTTACCTCCAAGTGTTCCCCCTTGAATCCCTCTTCAATCCTCTTCAGAAAGTTCCAAAATCACTAAAAAATGGTGGAAGTTAGCCCCAAAATCGCGGATAATGGCTATTTACACATTTTGCCGAGGCATTCAAAACCTTATTCGCGACCGCGGTCAAAGCCTCACGTTCGCGAAGCATAACCTGACGTTGACCAAAATTTACTTCATCGCGATCGCGACTCCCAGCTCGCGAACATGAATACTTAGCTCCCTTACTCACCGTGAATGCGACTCCCCATCCGCAAACGCGAAGAACAAACCAACTTGAACCCAGCTGCTCAACTTTCCTATACGCGAACGCGGCATAACCTCGCGAACACGATGACCTCGAGCCTCAACTCTTTGCGATCACGGGACCTGCTTCGCAAACGCGAAGGCCAACTTCACAGCCTCCCAGCCTAACCCTTCGCAAACGCGAGGGCCCACTTGCGAATGCGAAGGCTAAATGTCTGTAACACACACAACAGTTTCTGCAACTTTCCAAAATATGAAATGGTCTGATAGACCACTCGAAACTCACCCGAGGCCCCCGGGACCTCAACCAAATATGCCAACATAACCCATAAAATCCTTCAAACTTGTTCCAATCTTCAGAACGCTCAAAACAATATCAAAACCAAATTCGCATTGGATTCAAGCCTAAAAATGTCAAAATCTTCTAAATTTCGCTTTTGATCAAAAAGTCTACCAAACCACGCCTGAATGACCTGAAATTTTGCACACACATACAAAATGACATAATGGACCTACTGCAACTTCCGGAATTCCATTCCGACCCCTATATCAAAATCTTACCTATCAACCAGAAAACGCCAAAATTCTAATTTCGCCAATTCAAGCCTAAATCTACTCCAGACCTCCAAAACACATTCCGATCACGCTCCTAAGTCCTAAATAACCTCCCGAAGCTATTCTAACCATCGGAACTCACATCCAAGCCCTTTAACACAAAAGTCAATATCCGGTTGACTTTTCCAACTTAAGCTTCCTCAAAAGAGACTAAGTGTCTCAAACCTTACCAAAACCTCTCCGAACCCGAGTCAACCAACCTGATAACATATGGAACCGATACACCAAGCAATTAGAAGCAGAAATGGGGAAAATGGAGCTGTAACTCATGAGATAACTGGTCGGGTCATCACATCCTCCCCCTCTTAAACAAACGTTCTTCCTCGAACGAGTCAAGAAACATACCTGAAGCCTCAAAAAGGCGAGGATATCTACTCCGCATCTCTCACTCAGTCTCCCAGGTAGCCCCTCCATGGGCCGACCTCTCCACTGCACTTTCACTGAAGCTATATCCTTTGATCTCAACTTTCGAACCTGACGTTCCAAAATAGCTACTGGCTCCACATCATAAGTCAAATCACCATCTAACTGCACCATGCTGAAATCTAGAACATGAGACGTATCCCCAATATACTTCCGGAGCATAGAAACATGAAATACCGGATGCACATTCGACAAGTTGGGTGGCAAAGCAAGCTCATAAGCCATCTCCCCAATCCTCCGAAACACCTCAAAAGGCCCAATGAACCGAGGACTCAATTTACCTTTCTTCCCAAATCTCATAACACCCTTCATGGGCGAAACCTTCGACAAAACCTTCTCACCAACCATGTAGGACACATCCCGAACCTTCATGTCAGCATAACTCTTTTGTCNATGACCCTCCGAAATCAATGACACAAGCACATAACATGTCCTCCAATATCTGAAGACTGCGTTCGGACTGCCCGTCCGTCTAAGGGTGAAAAGTTGTGCTCAACTCAACCTAAGTACCCAACTCTCGCTGTACAGACCTCCAAACCTGCGAAGTAAACTGAGTTCCCCTATCTAAAATGATGGAAATTGGGACACCATGCAAACGAACAATCTCCCAGATATAGATCTATGCCAACCACTCTGAAGAATAGGTAGTACACGCAGGAATGAAGTGCGCGGACTTGGTTAGCCGATCCACAATCACCCAAATAACATCAAACTTCCTCAAAGTCTGTGGGAGCCCAACTATGAAGTCCATGGTTATCCGTTCCCACTTCCACTCCAGAATATCCATATGCTGAAGCTAGCCACCCAGTCTCTGATACTCATATTTTACCTGCTGACAATTGAGACACCGAGGTACAAATCCCATAATGTCCTTCTTCATTCTCCTCCACCAATAATGTTGTCTCAGATCCTGATAAATCTTTGCGGCACCTAGATGAATGGAATACCGCAAGCTATAGGCCTCCTCCAGAATCAACTCTCGAAGCCCATCTACATTAAGCACACAAATCTGGCTCTACGTCCTCAACACCTTATCATCACCAATAGTCACATCTATGACATCATCATGGTGAACTTTGTCCTTAAGGACAAGAAAATGAGGATCATCATACTGGCGCTCTCTGATGCGATTATATAAGGAAGACCAAGAAATCACACCAGCCAATACCTGACTAGGCTCTGAAATATCTAACCTCATGAACCGATTGGCCAAGGCATGAACATCAACTGCAAAAGGTCTCTCCCCAACTGGAATATATGCCAAACTCCCCATACTCACCGCTTTTCGGCTCAAAGCATCGGCCACCACATTGGCCTTCCCCAGATGGTACAAGATAGTAATATCATAATCCTTTAGCAACTCCAACCACCTCCGCTGCCTCAATTGAGATTCTTCTGCTTGAACAAGTGCTGGAGGCTACGACGATCAATAAACACCTCACAAGACACACCATACAAGTAATGCCTCCAAATCTTCAACGCATGAACAATGGCAGCCAACTCCAAATCATGAACGGGGTAGTTCTTTTCATGGGGCTTCAACTGACGAGAAGCATAAGCAATAACTCTACCCTCCTACATCAAAGCACACCCAATACCAACCCTCGAAGCATCACAATACACGGTATATGAACCTGAAGTTGATGACAAAACTAACACTAGAGTTGTGGTCAAGGTTGTCTTGAGCTTCTGAAAGCTCTCCTCACACTCATCCAACCATACAAATGAAGCACCCTTCTGAGTCAACTTGGTCAAGGGCGGTGCGATAGATGAGAATCCCTTAACAAAACGGCGATAATAGCCCCCCAAACCAAGAAAA